GACTTTATATAATTCATAATCAAAATATTGATACAAACTAACTGTATAAACAAACCCTAATCAAAGAAGACTGTTCTCAAAATTTCGTATAAGTAATCATAAACTAGAAATTGAGTTCGGTCGTTATAGCGATGTACCTCGACATGAGAGACTGTGTAAATACTGCAATAAAATTGCAGTTGAAGATGAATTTCATTTTTCATTTGAATGTGAAAAATATGAGAATTTGCGAAATAACTCGCACAACATCCTAAAAGACTATTTCCATATGAGCATCACTGATGAATTAAAGAGAAAATTATTAAGTGATCTTATGTCTTTGAATGACCCTGTGATAACAGATCTATTTTCGGAGCATATTTCGAAATGTTTTTATATCAGAGACAACAGCCCTTAAACCAGAAGTCACAAGTTTCTATATATTATATAACTTTCCTTTCCCTTTTTTATATTATCCTCTTTCTAATCCTTTCTTAAATTTTGATATTTGTTCTGTCATATGATGATATATCCTTCATATTTGATATATTATACATGTAAATAGCGGTATATTGTTTTTAGTTAGTTAAAGTAGTTTATACACCAGTTAACATTTATATATACTTACTATTACGCTTAGCAATACCTGTAATTAGGTCATGCAAATAAAGCTTATTAAAATAAAATAAAATAAACACATATAGACGATACGCCAAATGGATCATCTATCTCAAAGCAAGTTGTCACAACGAGCAAAGGCCATTTTCCACTCCAACCGTATCGGAAACAAAAGTCGTGTTTACACTACAAGCCTTTGGCCAGGCCAAGGTAAATGTGGCGCGTTTACACCATTACACTATTTTTTGAGACTGGCTCACTTTGGCCTAGAATTTTGTAATTAATTTTGTGTATTTTTATGTGTTGTGACGTTAATCTCTCACTGTGGACACAGGTTGCCATGAAAATAAGGCCCACGCCAGGACCGAAAGTGTTTACATTTCCACAAGCCTAGGCCACCGATTGTAGTGGGCCCAGATTTCCTGGCTTAGGTCAGGCCAAGGCTAGGCCAAAGTCTGTTTACACTGTCAAAATGTAGGCCAAGGCTTGTAGTGTAAACACGACTAAAGAAATACGCTTCGATACGACTAAATCGGGGGAAAATACTCCGAAATTCCATTACCTGAGCAAGTTGGGCTGCATGATTTTGTTTCCGAAGGTTTATTTCGTGCGGCGCACGCTCCAGTTACTTTCACACCACTTGAGGTCTCACACCAGACCGCTCTAGTGCCATTCCCCTGCCAAGCACTAGTCCTCCACTGCGCGCCAATGCACAGGGAACCCACAGATTTACATTCTTGCGTTTGAAGGAGATCCGACGAACACGCTTTACCACCCGCGTCTGGGGAGGAAATTATCACACGAGTTCGCGTTTGAGAATCTGTTGGATATAAACATAAAATAATATTTATCTGCTGCCATATTTGGCTACCCAGCCAGAGTCGCGTGATCTGCGACTAGTTGGAAGTCGCAAATCTGCCCTTCTCGGAATAATTTTTGCCTTTCGAACGGCCTTAGATTCTACATATGACTAATGATTCGTCCTATAAATAGACTGCCATACTATATAATGGTGATTCTAGCTATGGACTAAATTTTGATCAAGGCAAGAAAAACGAAATCCAACACCACAGCTAGAAAGAGCGTCTTAGAATGAGTAAAACTGCAAAGATTGGTTGCTAAATGTTGTAAAATGAGGGAAATATAGCCCTGTGAAGTTCGCAAATTTTGTATATATTTGCATTACGCGCGGTAAAAATAACCATTTTTGAGCCGAAAGTGGTTATTTTTACCGCGCGTAATACAAATATATACAAAATTTGCGAACTTTACAGGGCTATATTTTCCTCATATTACAACATTTAGCAACCAATCTTTGCAGTTTTACTCATTCGAAGACGCTCTTTCTAGCTGTGGTGTTGGATTTCGTACTTCTTGCCTTGATCAAAATTTAGTTTATAGCTGGAATAACCCATTCAGTAAAGTCGAACAGAATGATTGTCTCGGCCATAGTATGAAAATTAAGTCGCCTAAAACTGGTCTAAAATACCATTATTGCAGAATGTTCAAAGGATTAACAAATTCTTCATTAATACCTCTCGAACCGTGTTATTTCCGATGCTAATTTGAGACATATCATTCGACAGAGAGAATCTATGAGGGTTATTTATAGACGAAATACTGGCAAGGATATGTGCTAATCAGGCCTGTGTGCTAATAAAATTAGTTTCGGCGATTTCCTTGTTGTCGGATTAATATTCTTTCCCCCTGGTTAAGCGGCTTCAAAAATATCTGAGGTGATGATTGTGCAACAATTTTCAGACAAACATTTCCAAATATGTACAGAATGACATGTTAATGAATGTCACATTGTTGAATGTCAATGTTTTCAAATCAAAATCTGGCAAATCAAGAAATACCGGCCCGGCGATCGCATCAACGAACCCACAAAATTCCTCATATAGTCAGGGCTAAATTAGGCGGCAGAAATATTTGTACTCCAAAAGAATTTTTTAACCAACTTGATGAACATCTAAGATATCAATCGACATTAAAAATGCACGTCTTAAAATTTCTAGCAGATAAGTGTTTCAAGGGAAAAGAAAATGTACAAAAAATAAATAAAAAATTGTAATTGTGATGAGGGCTTTGCTGGCGCAATCGCGAATCGTCAGAGCAAGGCGCATTTTACCACCGAGATCGTGGACCCCAGACATTCATGCGAAAACAGTCAGTAACAGCACAATTTTGTGATGGCCGCAAACTTCATTTAGTCAACGCTCTACCCAAAGTCGTGGGTTAAGCCCTGGGCAAACTAGGAAACATTGTTGCGGAAACATTGTTTCCTACCAATATTTCGCCATGTTTCCCAGAGTGGGCAAACACTAGGAAACATTAGTGAGAAACATAGGAAAACATTAAATGTTTCTGAATATGGTAGGAAACATTTTTGCTTCTCGAGAAGCAAATTTTGTTTCCGCAACAATGTTTCCACGGTTGGGCAAACAGGGAAACATTCGAGGAAACATCGAGAATCACAAATGTTTCCACAACAATGTTTCCTAGTTTGCCCAGGGCTTTACTCCTGTTTCACAGGTGGTGGGGTAGCCCATAACTGACCCCTCCCACCGTAGTATGCGCCGTGATCAGATATAAGTCACGAGGTGCCCTTGAAAAGCCTTCGTATTGAACTGCGTCATTCGCAATTCGGCCTAGCTCTCAACTGCAAGTAAATACGATTATCACACTCCCACTTACTTATAATATGATAAGAGGTAAAAACGTATGGCATTTTTAAAATGGCTTAATCATAATCGCAAAGATTTTTTGCATCTAACGAAATATTTTTATGTTACATAGCGATGTGATATTAAATACCACCCTCTTTTCAGCACGTCAGGTAGCCCTTTTATCGCCTGTCAACACAATCGGGTACTTACATTTGGTGTCATTTCCAAAGCAGTTGCTACCGCACTCGCTCCAATCACTCCAGACAGACATAAAGCAGTCACCGGGACATGATACGACACAACCTCGTGATGACGTTAGCGTGAGTTGTGAACTGTTGTTTATTGCATCTTGAAGAACTTTTAATTTTGCTGCATCATCAGATGACCTAAATTCAGACATAACGTTGATGATAATGAATGAAGAAAACTAACTTTATTTATACTGGATAGCTCTATCAGTTCTAAATTGTTCTCCCTAGAGGTCCAGTGAGGATCATCTCTTATTGATCCAGTGTTACTACAGGAGGAAACCTAAACGAAACTAATTTTATTTATACTGGATAGCTCTGTCAGTTCTAAACTGTTCTCCCTAGAGGTCGAGTAAGGTTCATCTCTTATTGATCCAGTGTTACTACAGGAGGAAACCCAAACTAAACTAACTTTATTTGTACTGGACTGCTATATCAGTTCTAAACTGTTCTTCCTAGAGGTCCAGTAAGGATCATCTCTTATTGATCCCATATTACTACAGGAGGAAACCTAAATCTGTCGTAATCTAACACTTACTTTTTCAACTGACCAAAACAGAAATGCCAACCGACAATCTCCCCGTCACTTCGACGACAAACGGTTTCTCTACTCTGACTACCATAGCCACACCCACGACCATTAACATAACATTTGCCCCAGGCCCCACGGCTGAGACTATATGTATAACACGGCATATTGTTACATGGCCGGAACTGTGTCCCCTCTGGACACTTTCTCCCTCCGTTTTGTCTGAACATTATCACTTTTCGCGATCTCTGGATTTTACCATCGGGTCCGCACGCAGTTGTACAGCGCGACCACTCGTTCCAGTCTCCCATGATGCAATCCACGGGGCAAGGTATTTCACAGTCACGTGATGGAAGTGTAGTGTCAAAGTTTGGGCAGTGTTTCTTATCCAGCATTGTCCCATTTTCACCCTCGCACTTTACTGATCTGTACTGCATTCCTGGTAAAAGTGGACAAATGAATATCAGAACGCACTCATCCCAGACCCAGGACTAGATAGAGCATGTACTTTACCTTGGGGTCAGATAGATAGAAAATTTTATTTTGACACGCTTAAACTATGTCAATTAAAAATATTGATTTCCACGAAGGGCGTATGTTCAAAAGTTATTATATAAAAATGTTCTTATGGTATCTAATAAAAAATAGAAATAACGTAACTGCTCCAATTGTAAAACTAACAATATACAGAACTAACAAAACATATAATGCTTGTGATGTTATTCTGAGTGTATATCCACACCGGGCAAGCTTGAGAAATATACCTGGCCACGGTGAGAATCGAACCTACGACCTTTGGAATACTAGCCCAATGCTCTGCCAACCTCACTACGCGGTCAGGTCGGTTCGAGTATGTGATATTTCGGAACAGAATCTACTTCCTTCGATATCGATGTAATCTAGTAATCATGATTTTTTCTGTGTTGGTGTAATAGGGACTGAGTTCCATATTTTTGCCCCATTAAACATGAAACCCTTTTTCATGCTATTTGTGCGAGGCTGTGTTCAAAATCATCCTCTTTGAACACTTAAAACTTCACCTTTTCCACAGCCAGGTCCAAGGATCTGATTCAGCACACAAGTTGTCCAATCGCTCGTAACAACCTTTCCTGGAGACGGACAAGTGCAATTTATTTTTTCTATCGCGTACCCACTACACTTCTTCACCGAAGTCACGTGTTCTTGACGTTCCGTCTTTCTCCATCTGTTTTGAACACATCCACCTTTGCTTGGCACGCAAGGATTCCATGATGTCCAGATACTGACCACACAATCCCCTGTAGAAACAGATAGAAACTATGTTTGTGATGTTACTCTGAGTGTATATCCACACTGGGTAAGCTTGAAAAATATGCCTGGCCACGGTGGGAATCGAACCTACGACCTTTGGAATACTAGCCCAATGCTCTGCCAACTGAGCTACGCGGTCAGGTCGGTTCGAGTATGTGATATTTCGGAACTGAGTCTAGTTCCTTCGATATCAATGCAATCTAGTAATATGATTTTTTTCTGTGTTGGTGTTGTATACTGAGGTGAATATTATGTTTGTGACATAATTGTTTGAGTACACAACACCAACACAGAAGAAAATCATATAGAAACTATTCGAAATAGTGTAAATGTTTAAGACGTAGGTGTTGCTAATCAACCTTAGTTGCAGCTGAGAGCATAGTCTATCAAGGTATATTCTGGAAACTAAACAGAAGTCGTTGTTTGATGTTTTTGTCTGAGTTTATGTTAATTTATGCACGGTCACGGTGATTGAGTTCATTGTATTTTCGTATAATGAAGTAATCGTCCAATAGGGATAGCTGAGATGAAACATGCAACCACGATGAATAATATTTAATGAAGTTGAGACAAAGGATTTGTGCATGGTGAGGAACAGTTCAACATCAAACAAAGGTCTTCTATTTTGTAGCTTTGAAGTTTGCCAGGCCTCCAGACCATCGTATCTTGACAAACTATGCCGAGAGTTAAGCTGAATCGCAGCCACCTTACGAGTCGTGTCTGGCCACAGAGCACAGCTGCGGTGGACAAGGGCGGATTTTCATTTATTTAAAAGGAGGGGTAGACAAATTTCTGGTGGGGTGCAAGCGACACCACTCAGTGAGCTGCAGCAGGGGTTAGGCGTTTGGGTTGAAGCCTTTCACACAAAGGGGTGAAGCAAAATTTTGGTGGAGTTGAACCACTGGGTTGAATATTTTATAAGAGGGGTTAGAGAGATTCTAGGAGGGGTTCAACCCCCTCCCCCTAACCCCCCCAGTAAATCCGTCCATGACGGTGGAAGGATCAGTTTGGGGACATACAGTACCTGGACAAGAGAGAGAACATTTCTGGACCACGGCAGGCTTTGGCGCTTGTTTCGCACAAATCCAATCACGAGCCGGATCAGGTGAACAAACAACTTGACGAGTTTGAGTCCCATTACCACAAATACCAGCTTGGGAAGTCAGCTGACAGGTATTCCAGATGCCCACTTTCCACGTGAACGAAATACAAGCAGGTTCGTGGCATAGCTGTTTGTCTACGAGACTAGGACAAGCCCTGCCAAAGCCTAGCGGTTGTTTGAGAACAGTTCGTTGACGAGTCCTGAGGCTATTCCCGCATGTGTTTGAGCACAGTTGGTCCCATTTACCCCACGAGCTCACAACACAGTCTTGTGTGCATTCAACAAGGCAGTTCTCCCGGGAGCTCGGTTTCGTTGCTTGGTCACAGTGTGATTCAGGTACGAAACTTAGGTCTGACTGGTCTTGACATAAGACATGCCGTTCTTTGCTTCCTTGCCCACAACAGGTGGCACTGTTGAGCGGTAGGCAACTGGCAAATGGTGCAGCATACCAATTGTAGCTAGAAAAAGGTTAAAAAATAGATTGAAAACTATAAACTCAGCTAGCTTTTGTTATACTGAATAGCTCTATCAGTTCTAAACTGTTCTTCCTAGAGGTCCAGTAAGGATCATCTCTTATTGATCCAGTGTTGCTACAGGAGGAAACCTAAATTACACTAACTTTATTTATACAGGATAGCTACTGTTCTTCCTCGAGGTCCAATAAGGATCATCTCCTATTGATCCAGTGTTACTACAGGAGGAAACCAAAACTAAACTAACTTTATTTATACTTGATAGCTCTATCAGTTCTAAACTGTTCTTCCTAGAGGTCCAGTAAGGATCATCTCTTATTGATCCAATGTTACTACAGGAGGAAACCTAAACTACACTAACTTTATTTATACTGGATATTACGAAAGTCACCGAACTGTGGAATCGCATCAAAAATTCGTATATCGACCACTCCCACAAACGTCTACGACCGCGCCTACATAGTTTTGCATGTTTACAATTCTAATTTTGAACAGCCAATCAGGTTCTTGGTAACAATTGCAATTAAACGTCGATTGGCTGTTTAAAATTAGAATTGTAAACATGCAAAAATATGTGGGCGCGGTCGTAGACGTTTGTGGGAGTGGTCGATATACGAATTTTTGATGCGATTCCACAGTTCGGTGACTTTCGTAATAACTCTATCAGTTGAATTAAAACTGTTATCCTTAGAGTTTCATTTAGGGCCAGTCATGATGTCAATCAATTACTGGTGCAAGAAGAAACCTAAACTGATTTTTATCCTTAATCTTTTTAAACTTAATCAAATTAGCTGTGATCTTACCTTTTACATGGTATTTTCGGACAATCTTCAGTTTCAACAAAATCTGAAGCAGTGAGTCTCGGACATTTCGCACTGAAGCCGCCTCGAGCAGGGCTGAGATTCACCACTTGACGTCTTCTGGATCTGACAGGAGCAGTACGGGTGCATCTGTTCGGACACTGAGTCCACTCGGACCAACTTGACCGGACACAATGATCATCACAAGGCTTCCAGCACTCTTTTAAAGTTCTACAATATAACGAATCATTTTGCTTACTTAGTTTAGCAGGGATGGATCCAGCATAATCTGGTAGGGGGGAGGGTGTGCTCTGCCAGCTCTGGTGTTGGTCATGTGTGCCGCCCACCCATCAACTTGCTTCAGTACCGCTTGACTACTGTATTTGAATTGTAATTGTTGTTCACTTATCATCATGTTATTACTCAAATTACTGTATCTCATTTTGCCTCTAATAATTTTTTGCTTTATCATGAAAAATAGCACCCCCCCCCCCCCCCCCCGTAAATCCATCCCTGTAGATAGTTACATACTTGCCTGACTCCTTCCCTTCCCTTTCCTTTCCATCCCATCCCATCTTATCCTATCCTATCTCATCCCATCGCATCCCATCCCTTCCTTAGGGACGGACCATTTGATTTTTGATGGGGGGAGGCGCCTTTTTGAAAGTCTCCATTTTTCCCGGGCCTCATCGGCTCCGCACAATATTTTTCCCGAACTTTTGTAATATACTGGTTTTACAAATTTGTCGTGCTCGATATTTTTTCATCAGTTTGGGGCATGCTCGATATTTTTTTTCGGATTTGCGCCCCTTCCCCAATCATGTGCTAAACGATTTTCTAACCATACTGAAAACTAAACTCACGTATTCACTTACTTAGGTGGCGTCTCCAGACTTGACTCAAAACAGTACGAGGTTTCCATAAGTTTTCCATCGGACCGCACACAAGATATATTCCTAGTCTGGTACCCAGCTCCACAAGTGGATGGGGTTAATTTCACCTGGGGAAGAATCTGACAGTCTCGCCAAGGGGTTACACTCCATGTGTAGTTGTAACATGGTTGGTTACTCCGACACGGTCGGGTTTTTATCTCCATACCATTGTGGCTCCCATTAGAACATGCGAGACCACCATATTCTGCATTCTGGAGTATATATCGTTTACTAATCTGAATACCTGGAAATACAAAGCAAGAAATTAACTTTTTAGCAAGCATTCGCACATTCACTTGATTACATAGGTCGTAATCGCCATCGAATCGGCTGATCTACATTTGTTAGTGATTATCTCTAGAACCAATAAGGCCGATTTACACTACACAACTTTTGCCTAAATCTGTTGCATGCAACCTGCTTACAACTTGAGTTGTACTGTGTAAATCAAGCACACAACTCACCTACGACACTACACAACTTTTGCCTACAACTGTCGCATGCAACCTGCTTACAACTTGAGTTGTACTGTGTAAATCAAGCACACAACTCACCTACGACACTACACAACGTTTGCCTAAAACTGTCACATGCAACCTGCTTACAACTTGAGTTGTACTGTGTAAATCAAGCACACAACTCACCTATGACACTACACAACTTTTGCCTAAAACTGTCGTATGCAACCTTACAACTTGAGTTGTACTGTGTAAATCAAGCACACAACTCACCTACGACACTACACAACGTTTGCCTAAAACTGTCACATGCAACCTGCTTACAACTTGAGTTGTACTGTGTAAATCAAGCACACAACTCACCTACGACACTACACAACGTTTGCCTAAAACTGTCACATGCAACCTGCTTACAACTTGAGTTGTACTGTGTAAATCAAGCATACAACTCACCTACGACACTACACAACTTTTGCCTAAAACTGTCGCATACAACCTGCTTAATACAACTTGAGTTGTACTGTGTAGATCAAGCACACAACTCACCTACGACACTACACAACTTTTGCCTAAAACTGTCGCATACAACCTGCTTAATACAACTTGAGTTGTACTGTGTAGATCAAGCACACAACTCACCTACGACACTACACAACGAAGGCAAGTTGTGTGCTTGATTTACAAAGTACAACTCAAGTTGTAAGCAGGTTGCATGCGACAGTTTTATGCAAAAGTTGTGAAGTGTAATTCGGCCTATGCACACATACATACCTTGAATTTGACAGGTAGCATTACATGCCGACCATTTCCCCCACGCACTAAGCACACAATCCCTCGGGCACGGTACATCACACTGTTTCATTGTCGGCGGCTTCGTCATATTTCCACACTGGGTATCATTCGTAAAATTCCTCACATCGTTCCCGCAATGCACTCCGCGTCTTTGGATCCCCTCGGCATCCCCGCATTTGCCAGTCACGTTCCGTTCACATGGTCCCCACGTGGTCGTCTTCCACATGTACGTGCTCTCGCACAATTTCCCCACATTGCATTTCTGGGTCGCGATCAGTTTATCAGCTGAGGGACACGGGGTCCGTATTGAGCTAGGGTAGGCCAAGATGCTGCGTTTCCTGACCTGCACACCCCCCTGTGCGCCACAAGATTCGGAACAGGTCCCCCACTCTCCCCACTCACTCACCACACAATCGTTAGGACACGGCACTGTGCAGTTCATAGTACGAAGTGGAGTGGGTTGCCCTGAACAGACATCATCCCTTTTCCACGTACCCGCCACCCCACGACAATATACCAAACGATGCTTCATCCCCCCGCCACATCGCGCAGCCGATATACATTGGCTCCACTGGACGGAGGACCACGATGCGCATGGAACCACTTCACATTTGGACATCTGAACAAGACTAGGGCAATCCGCCCCACCGTTTTTCGCCGCCTGGACAACACTTCGAACCTGTCTTTTAACCCCAGCAGCCCCGCACGAAATGGAGCATGGTTCCCATGCGTTCCAACCACTGACCACACAGTCACGTGGGCACGGTGTCTGACAGAGTTGCCTAGCAACGGGTTTGCTCGCCGCGTCACACAAGTGGTCTCCAACGGGCTGGACATCGTTCCCCGAGTTCGATTCAATACAAAACACAACACGTTCTTTAAAGCCATCACCACAACGAGTTGTATTCATATCCCCTTGGTTCCTACATTCACCCCATGAAGAGGCATACCACGTATAACTTGGACACTTCGTATTACACGGTCTTGTCTCAACCAAATGCCCGCATGCTTTGCCACCAAGTTGGGGAGGGTACAAAATTCCGCGTGTGCGACTTTCTTCCGTGCGGCTACAGTCAACCGGGCAACCACTCCACGCATTCCACGCTGACACGTGACAATCACATGCAAAATGGCAAACTTTACTCCGCTCAGGACGTTGGGTAATTCTGCCATCTTTATCCTTCGAATTCAAACACTTGCGCACTTTTTGCTCGACTCCGTTTGTATCGACGCATTTCACCTTCCGCGTCGCTTTACCAATTTTTAACTTCGCTCCGCACAAGTTCTTTCCGCTCGCCGCGACATTTGATTGATTGGCGTTAAGCTTATAAACTGGTACCGTCGTAAAAGCGCGGCAATTGCCCCAATCTCCAACCAACCATAAGTAAAACGCATTAGAATTTCCAGCGCATTGGGAGCAAGGTGACTTCTCCAATAACGGTGGACACGCGACTGCATCGTTGTCACGCCATCGTACGCTGCGTATTCTGAACTTAAACTTGCGTGCACACGCTACGTCACATGGTTGCCACGACGACCACATGCTGACGACACAACGTCCGGGACATTTTTGAGTGGCGCATTCGATCAACGACGCGGGTCTTGTTGAGACGTTGTTACAGTAATAGTCCGGAATAATCTGACCGCTTAATGTCTTTACACACTGGACTGTTCTTGACCGTGCACAGACTCCAGACACGGTGTCGTTTGCTACACATTTGTTAGGTAAAGAAATTGTCCACTTCACTTGAGTCCCGTAACTCGCGCAAAAGAATAAAGATAGCAGTATAACATTCCAAAATATCGATGCCATAATATAATCTTCTTAAAATTGATATATTTTTGCACCGTGAAATATCTTTGCTATCACACAAATTCGTCTAAAAAATTTGAAGTATATTTCCTTTTCAAATACTAAACCAGAACTTTTCCACGTATTCTTCGCCTGAATAACTCTCCAATTCGCTTCCAAATGACAAACAGAAAAGTTATTTTAACCAAACGACGAATACACAGATATGTTATGTTTCCAAAAGAGCACCAGTGCTATTTTAATCCAATGACTTTCAATAAGCAATATACGAAACAGACCACGACGCCGTTCAAAAAATTCCTGCTTGACAAAAGCACTAATTTTTTTCAGATGACCCTTTTGTGTTTCTTAAATGCAGGAGACAGAAACCAAATTAGCCGTTGTTTCTCGGTAAAGCTTTGTGCCTCTTGAATCCTTCGAATAGACAGATTAAGCTGATGTTTTTGAAAACACGATTTCTCAAAAATTCTGTTTTGATAAGGAAGCCAGTATCTTTAATTCCTGTATTTTCCAAGTCAAAGGCGGGGTACAAAGATCGGTCTGTCACGTCGCCATGAAGTTACGAACATGGAATGAGCCTAAAACGAATGGAGAATATGGTAGTAATTTTAATTGATGAAAGAATATGAAATTGACCCTTTCACCTTAGCAGACAAGTGGCTTTCATTAAAGGAAAATCCGCGCAGACGTGTGAAATAGCAAGGGGTATAAGCGATTGGATTGCCTCATCAGTTCTAAACTGTTCTCCGCAGTGGTTCTCCCTAGAGGTCCAGTAAGAACCATCCCTTATTGATCCAATGTTACTACAGGAGGAAACTTAAACTAACTTCATTTATACTGGATAGCTCTATCAGTTCTAAACTGTTCTTCCTAGAGGTCCAGTAAGGATCATCTTTTATTGATCCAGTGTTACTACAGGAGGAAACTTAAACTAACTTCATTTATACTGGATAGCTCTATCAGTTCTAAATTGTTCTGTTCGAGGTTCCAGTAAGGATCATGCCTTATTGGATCATGCCTTATTGACCCAAACCTTAACTAATCTACTTTATTTATACTGGATAATTCGATCAGATCTAGTTCAGAGGTAACCCCTTCTTGGTCTAGTGTTACTATAGGACCTGCAAAGCAAGTTGATCAATATTTTCCCATTACACCAGTGCGACAATTCAGAAAGGTGCCAACCTGGCGATAATTGGCTAGCAATGGTATCTTGATGAGCATTTTTGCAAATAAATGAATATATTAGTACAGAGAGAATCTGCAAATCCGATTATTGTAGTATTGGGGGGTTACCAAAATGAATCATGGCTCCCACTGTGACAAATGTGTTATTGATTTGCACGTTCAAACGGAGTTTGTTCCAAGACATCTGTACAGGGCTAATTTTCCTACTGTTCCGCATTCTTCTGGTAAACGCAGCCCGAGTTTTCGTGCAAAACCTAAATCCATCTTTCGGAGTACAGAAGAGCTTAATTCTGTGAGATCATCTAGTGGTGTAACTGGTGTTTTGCTTGCTCAATGTTTAGTGCTCGATTCGATAATAATTTCGCCTCTGTTTTATTTTGCCAAGCACTGTTGGATTTTCCCGGTTATTCTGGTTTCCTCTTGTAGTACTAGGACTGGACTAATGAGCCAATAAGACATCTAATGACCTTTACTTGAGGTTTAATAGCGATAACAGCTCTAGTTCAGAGGTGATAGAGCAACCCAGTATACATAAAGTTAGCTTAGGTTTCCTTCTGTAGCAACACTGCCACTGGATCATACATATACCAAAGTCCAGCATGTTCATGAGTATGGCGGATTGTGCTATATATATCAGCATGGTACATCTGATCAATTAGGAATGACTCTTACTGGACCTCTAGGGAGAACAGTTTAGAACTGATAGAGCTATCCCGTATAAATAAATTTAGTTTAGTTTAGGTTTCCTCCTGTTGTAACATTGAATCAATACGAGAAGACCCTTACTGGACCTGTAGGAAGAACAGTGTAGAAATGATAGAGTTATCCAGTATAAATAAAGTTAGTTTAGTTTAGGTTTCCTCCTGTAGTAACAATGATCCTTACTAGACCTCTAGGGAGAACAGTTTAGAACTGATAGAGCTATCCCGTATAAATAAAGTTAGTTTAGTTTAGGTTTCCTCCTGTTGTAACACATGCAGAATCAAAATTTCAGTGAGTGGACATTATTTTTAGAGATGATGGTATATATAATATGTTTGTGCCTGAAGTGTTTTATGAACTATATTTAAACATGATGTCTCTTACTGTCACCAACGAATCTAAATTAGGTACTCGTGTGCAGTCGTCCTCTTAAACACGGTACTTAAATCGCAGGAATGTGGAGTTTGAACTCTTGCCCTTACAAGGTGACTTAATTCTTAAATTTAGCTTGTTTGTCATCTAATCAATACATGTGTATGAAATTTGCTCCACATTTAGATGGTGATAGCTTGAACAGTTCTGTATGCCTCCCAAAGGGTCATCTCTTATTGATCCAGTGTTACTACAGGAGGAAACCTAAACTAAACTAACTTTATTTATACTGGGTAGCTCTAACAGTTCTAAACTGTTCTCCCTAGAGGTCCATTAACGATCATCTCTTATTGATCCAGTGTTACTACAGGAGGAAACCTAAACTAAACTAACTTTATTTATACTGGATAGCTTTATCTATTCCTATAATTTTGTATTCTTCATTATTTCATGCATGTTAAAATTTCGTATCAACACTTTAAACATCAATGGACCGTTGGAATTCCTTCCATCCCCACCCAAACACATGGCATAATCACCATGTCTACTCGGAAATAAATCATGGTGGAATTCCGTTCGCAAAGCCTGACAACAACATTTTTTACGTGCACCCTATAATTATGGACAAAATGATTTAATAGTTGCTGAGCAATTTTAGAAGTACTTTAAGTCCTTAGCGTGCTTGGCCCTGATAACCACTTATAGCGTAATAAACTGTGAAATTAGTATGACCTAGATTTACCCTATATGGTGGCACGCGACGCTTGCTATGCATGAATGCTGGGATTTGGGAACTTGTTGTTCAACCGTAATCTAATCCCATGAATACGACAACATTTATAAAATATCGTGGCCAATTCAAACGTATCTTACGAAAGAAAATAATCGAGAATGTTAAAACGTATAATTCTTATAATCAAAAGCATTAATAATTCAGGAGGAAAACACAAAGAAAAATCATAAGCGTGTCGTGGTTTTATATGTGATGAAAAATCATGTTAATTTACATAAACTTTAGCTTTGATTTTCTCCGTTTAGACAAAGTTTATTTTAAAAATTACTTCGCCAATGAACTCGTATAAGATGAGTCGTTTTTGAAGCCATTTAAAGCACTTGTAGTCGTGTTTTATCACATATAAAACACTCCGCTACGCGTCGTGTTTTATATGTGATAAAACACTCCTACGCGTGCTTTAAATAGTACATAATGATGCAATAATAATATTTATTATATATTAAACATAAGTGTCATATAGAGTTTTTGGCCACTGAGAAAAATCGTACTTAAACACGCGTAAAAAATACGATATTTTACGTGTGAAAATATCATTTGTTGTAAAACGCATTGCCACGGACGTTTTATTGTTTTTAACTGAATTTTGTTTTTATAATAAACAGAAAAATACATGGGTGCTTGGAAATACCAGATTTGTTTCTCGTGTTGAATATGCATGATATCAACACTCGAAATAAATCTGGTATTAGATAGATAGATAGAAAACTTTATTTAACCACGCTAACCCCGTCAACCGAAGCTGATTTCCACAGGGGCCATGTATTATTCTCTATGTAATAAGAATATAATAATATAATTATGATAATACCTATTTGACTAAGGTATGAATTTTACTGCAGCTAGTCAGCTGATGAGGTTGTAAACCTACTATTGTGTATTAAGCCTGACCCACCCTGTCAACATTCTCAGGGTGAAAGGCGCTTGGTGAAAGCATAGTTTGATCCCATATACATGTAACTATATACGCTCTTTTGTGATTCATAGAATATTTGATTATAATATAAGAATAACCTTGATTAGGAATGTGCTATTCTTAGGGGCCGATTACATGGGGCATTTTCAACCCCGGGGTTGATCTCAGCCCTGTTTACCGGGTTGAAATTTCAGCCCTGTCTGTAATACAAAACTCTATCAAAATCAAACGCGCGATTACATGACAAAATTTTCAACCCAGGGCTGAGTTCAACCCCGGGGTTGAAATTTCAACCCTGCTTCAGCTATAGCAAGGTTGAAATTTCAACCCCGGGGTTGAACTCAGTCTTGGGTTGAAAATTTTGTCATGTAATCGTTTCAACCCAGGGCTGAAATTATAATGAGTTATTCGAGCATGCGTGGTAGTGACTATTTATTACAAGAAAACAAAATAAAGGCTTTTTTACTTCCGGAAATCGATGCCGAGAACGTATAGTATAGCGTTTCAACCCCGGGGTTGAAATCGTCCATGTAGTCGCAAAAAATTTCAACCCAGTTAACAGGGCTGAGTTCAACCCCGGGGTTGAAAATGCTCCATGTAATCGGCCCCTTAGTCTTGGTAAACACAAAAGGAAAACTGAAATATAAAATATAATCTGGAATAGTGCAGTATAGGTATAGTGTCAATAATATCACAGGATAATATGAACAAGCTTTCGTTCGTATGGATGCATACAACTATAAATATAAGGAGAATTTCGACGTCGAGATTCTCCTTATATTTTTCAGGCAGTTGCATCCCTACACCAACGAAAGCTTGTTCATATGATATTTGCTGTGTTGGTGTAATGTACTCAGGTGAATAAGATGCTTGTATGATGTTACTCTGAGTGTATATCCACACCGGGCAGGCTTTAAAAATATGCCTGGCCACAGTGTTCATATATGTATGCTCTTTTATATCCTATTTTCAACAACCGAGTTTTCTGTAAAACTCTTTGCAAATATTTTAAAGAACTTTTAACTTATCTTCAGTTAAGGAGTGTCAAAGATGTAGACGGGCTAGCCCATAATATATCATGCGACAATTTCCTACCCGGCCCTTTCGGCTTATCATATCTTATTTGACATATTATACGACATTTTTGACCTTTCGTATCACCTCACCCTAAAAAACGTAGGCGTTTAGAAACCGATGCAAATTACGACTGCCAAAAAGTGTCTGCGAGATTGCTAACAGGTTGGAACAGATCCTAAAAGATTCAGTCTATTTTTAACAGAGACGTTCTTGGATAGTAATTCTTCATCATTGGCAGAGGTTGAAATTTTAAAAACCTGCTCGCCAAATTTAATATCATGTTTCGCTAAATCAATATGTTAATGTACATTTTTCCACTCAGAGAAATTTTGTAAAACGTGATTGGCCGACACAAATTTTCCGTCGGAAAAAAAATTTGAATTGAAAATTTTCAACTTTTAACAATGATATTTTCGGAATATTTTCTGTCCATGGAAATTTTTCTTGAGAGGAAAATGGACCTTAATGGAGTATTTTCTTTGTATATATAAAACAAACTAACTTTATTCAAACAGTGCTACCAATATAAGTCTGTAAATACAGAGAGACTAGATTAAAAATTAGGATTATACCAGTTATAGTATTATAATTGATCAAAATTTGTTAGGACTTCTACGCAACACTTCTACCAACGTCCCCACAGATTTGTCTTTCATTGTAAATAACATACATAAACAAGATATTTGCTGTGTTGGTGTAATATACTTAGGTGAATAAGATGCTCGTGTGATGCAGGCATATTTTCCAAGCCTGCCCGGTGTGGGTATACACTCAAAGTAATATCACACGAGCAGGGGCGGCGGAACAGGGGGGGCTAGGGGGGCTAAAGCCCCCCCAGAAGTAATAGTGGGGGGGGCTTAGCCCCCCCCCCAGAAAATTTGAATTTTTTGGAAAAATTTTGATAATTAGGGAAAAATTTAGGTTATTTTTTGAAAATTTAGGTATAAGGGGACAAATTTGCCATATTTTGTTTAAAAAAAGTGTATTTCCGAAAACATTTTTTGATATAAGTCCGAAAAAATTTTTTTCGTCCTTTTTTTATATATTGTACCCCTAAAGTGGTACACTGACCGAAATTTTTTTGGCGACGGGGGGGGGCGGGGGGGGGAGGTCGCCGAAAAAATTTAGCCCCCCCAGAACGAAATCTGTTCCGCCGCCGCTGCACACGAGCATACATAAACAAGTTACATGCAGTCATGACATAAAAAAACAGTTGTTTAAATTAAATGTTAGAAAAATATATGCAAAGCGGAATGAAACAATGGTATATTTTAATTATCAATTTTGAAATAAAGTTCGATTTAATATAAGACCAAAATTATATAGATAGATGACATTTTATGAGGTTGGGGCAAAACGCGGATGCGGACGGACAGACGGCGGACGGATGAGAGGGTCAAAAAACGGACATGAGGATATAAAACCATCTCATCCGTTTTATGACGAAATTTTAACACCTAGTTGGCGCGGGGGGCGAAAAAACGACTTCACACCATGGGATGCTTGATCAGGTTTATATAACCACACCAGGAACTTGGTAGATCTAGAATTTTTCCCCATCACCTCCGCATGCTTCAAATATTATCAAGTACTACGCAAATAAAGCCATGTCACTCACGATGATTGGAGGGCATTCAAATATCGATTTCCGATAAACATATTGTATTTCTTCCGAGATTTTTGGGCGTCTCGAACTATTAACGTCTCGAACTCTTGTACATTTTATGTAAGTTTTGATCTAGACAAGAAAAACGAATGCCATTACCATAGCTGGAAAGAGCATCTTAAAATGAGTAAAATTGCAAAAGTTTGGTTGCCAATTGTTGTAAAATGAGGAAAATATCGTCTTCACAGCCACAGGGCTATATTTTCTTCATCTTACAACATTTAGCAACCAATCTTTACAGTTTTACTCATTCTAAGACGCTCTTTTTAGCTGTGGTGTTGGATTTCGTTCCTCTTGCCTTGATCAAAATTTAGTCTATAGTATAGCTGGAATCACCCATTCCGAGCCAAAGGTTATTATGGAATTTTAGACCTAACCTTAACCGAAAAATGCAACTATTGTATATTTCTATATTTTCTCTTTTCATTTTTACTCCGGCCTCGTAGCAAGCGGAGGTATAAGATGGACAGTTTCTGTTTTATTTTTTCAACGTCGTCTAGATTTACATCTATACTATTTTTTACCCGACACAAAGTAAAAAATCCCATAAAACTTCCTTATTTTAATAATGTCGCGCACAGTTAATTTCAAAGCAAAACAATCCCACTGCCTGATCGAAATTTTGCTGACAGACATGTTTTTAATGTAAATAAAAAACGTATGGGAATTGGGATGTTATAGATCTAATATCTGCATGACATTTATGAAAATGAACTCCAATTCTTAGTTCTATTTTAAAGTACATGCGTGTTAAGAGTGAGTCACGACATACACGTTAAAATTCAAGTCTTTCATGTTGAAGACCTTCAGATCAATCAGATGCAAGTCGGAAATAAGTATGTAGACGCACGAAGTACAAAAGTCAAGGTCATTGCCGAAATACAAGCCTGCATGGGATATTTAAACCAATAAATTATAGTAAATTATAAAAAAAAATCATGCATTAGCCGAGCATGTAAGCATCTTGTTAGACTCAAATAAAACAAATAAGATACGAGTAAAAATGAAGAATGTTATAAATATAATCTGTCCAATTTATTACAGAAAGCTTTGGATTGATAGGGATACAAGTCATACAACTTACCTGAAAAATGCAATGAGAACTTCGACCCTTTCAAACGAAGGCTCTTTGTCGGGCCTCCTTTGCTAAGTTCTCGTTGTATTTTTCAATTGTTGTATTCCTATCAATCCGACGCTTTTAATACTGGGCATAAATTGAATCCATGCACTCGCCAGATTAGTCAAATAAGACGTTATAAAAACAACTTAACTCCAGCCCATACACAAGTTATTTGTTATTTAAAAACACAACGCTTGAAAATCCTGGCTCCGTATCAAAATATTTAACATTGTGAGAACAACGCAACTGAGAATTCTGCCAACGAAATGCAAGCCATATACAATTTTAGAAACTGATTTCCAAATTCCTATAAGCTTAGCCCGAGGCAAGCGTTGTATCAGTCAACGGTTTCGTATATATAAGCCGCTATTCTATCATTCCTATCTATATATCTTAACTATAACCACGTGCAATAAAAGATAAAACGTTTGCCGCAATGTTGGCCCGAAGATAAACGTGTCACCGACGTTAAATCTGATATAATCACGTTAATAACGATTCCAAAACTGGCTGACATTTTAGAGTATTCCCCTAAACTTAATTTCAAATATTATATTAATTGAAAAAATAAACTAGATTTGCTTGTATTAGATGGCTCTATCAGTTCTAAACAGTTCTCCTAAGATGCTCATTGAGGTAAGGGTCATCAATTATATTGGTCTCTATAGATCAGTTTAAATCTTCTATCTTCATTACTTTATTTATACTGTTTCTATTTTATTATTTCCAAACTTCCCATGCAGAAGTGGTTAAAATATTTCTCATTAAATGGTGGTTCTTTTACGAAGTTATACCACACATTTGAAGTAGCTTATTGCGGTTACGTTAAAACTCCTCAACGTTTGTTAAAAAACCTCGGCAAAGGCCACGTTTGTCAACACAACATTGCGGTATTTGAAATCGCTATCAATCTATTAGTTTTAAGTCTCAACTCCAATGATTGTAACCAATTAGAATAGCAGATAAGCGAGCTATATAGTCTATATAGGTCATGTCAAAAGGTCTTACATCGGTGTTGCATAGTGCGTTGGCAGAAATATGATATCAATATCTTGAAGTATGCGTTTCCACCCACTCGAACGATGTAAGGTTAAACATGTTATCTACACAACTCAAAACATTGTTGGCAAGATTATTGTCGAGATTTTAAAACACAATCTTGAGTTGTCTGTGTCCGCGTAGGTAGTCCAATAATAAGAAAGATTTGGATTCATAGGAATGCAACTACGAATAGGAAAAAACGAATCCCTATCAATGCGCAGCTTTCGTTTCGAAACACAAGCAGCTATAGCAGATATATCCTGGTGCACATTTCGAGAATTGGCATGCGAATATACTAGCATTGTCTTCTTTCAATCAAATGCGTCATTTGATATTGTTCCATAGTCTATACTAGATAAAGGGTCCTATGTATAGATGGAAATTATCCAGTGGAAATTTATATACATTTATTAGATCTAACCGGGAACAATTGTGAAAAATGCAACTAAAGATCCCTGACTGGAATCGAACCTGCGACCCTGTGACTCCGGTGCAGCGGTCTAACCAAAATCTTGATATATACTAGATAAAACTCATCCTATTCATATATTGGATTCCCTTATTCTTCGCAAACTACAGTTGCTTTGAAGGAAACAGCTCTGTTTTTGTATATATTATACCAGTCTATTCCACACAGGGCAGTGTATAAAATCGTTCAGCAAACATTAGTTTATATGTATATATTTAATCACTTTACTGTATCAAAGCAACGCGTTAAACCGTGCGTTCAAAAACAAAGCTCGTACTTATAAACACAGTTCCTAATTTAGAAATTTAAAGAATTTGCCAGCTCTAGACATCGGAAATAGCTTTTGGCGCTTATATTTCATTAATTTTCCTTCGCATGTTCTGATCCTTAAATTTAACGACTTTTACCACAGTGTTTGGCATGATAATGAATGTATAAATATTGTCATACCACATGTATGTATGCAGAAAAATTAATGTTGACCTCTGACTCTGAGCCAACTACAGTCAACTACATTTCGTAGCGAATTCTTACACAGGTCCTCGTAATTCATAAAAAAAGCCAAATTATTTAAGGAAGTGTAAAAGATTAAAATATTATAATTGCTCCCATAATAAGCTTGATGGTTCTTCAATGTTTTTATGAAACCCAAAATTACGTTCGAACATATATGGCGTGGGCCCTCACGTTGAGCAATCTGGTTTTCCCCTTGGCTGCTTTTGTAGGCAGAATACAAAAAATAGGAGGATAATGCATATATACTCGACTTATAATACGATTTAGCTTAATATTCTATGTCGAATAGATTATGGTAAAATGGATGAATGTCTTAGGATGATAAGACCCTTTGTTAGTTATAAAACTGACTTTGAAAAGGGTCAAAATATCACTGTGAATTGTGTGTTAATTTTTTTTTTAACTCGTATCATCAGTTTACAAGATATTGTAGCATTTTTTAAATAGATATTTATTAAAAGCGTCTGCTTGTAATGGATTAATTATACAGACATTGTTTTCCTATTGATTTAGATACAGAAATAACTCTTATCGCGCGAGTGCAGAATAAGTTTTACAGTCCGCTTGGCAACAAAAGCCACTATACGCTTCAAGCAAAGGGGTTAAATATACCCCCATTTTGGTGGACCCTCGCTAGCTTACTAAAATCTCCTTGCTTAAAATATAAAAATTATATTTTGCATATTCAGCTTAACGAGAATTCACCAGAAAAGTCTTGTATCTCCAAGGCCTGCGCTTATATCAAATTTAAACAATTTATCTGATTTTCAAGTTCAATATATATGAATTACAAGTGCCTTTTTTCCGGTCTTATGGACTCCGTGGATGGAACAGCTTGGATGGAAACGTGCATGGCGCAAATCAGCCAAATCTATTGTGTCCCAGCTTCGTGACTGCGTTGATTTATTAAAACCATATACAAGAATCACAGGCCTTCTTCGGGGGAGACTTGCGGTGTAAATGCAACTTGATATGAAAGAATCAACAACATGGGCTGAAATCCTCAGAGCTTTATATTGACTTTTACATGGCTAGCAAGAATTCGCATTAGCAATTAGACTTGTGATTCGAATTCAAAACCTATTGAGCTGACAACTTATACCATGTGGAAAAAATGCCATTCTTCTTTTATAATATACTCAAATATTTAGACACAATTCGCATCCCAGTATATTACAATACTAGTTCATAGTCCACTAATTCTCTTGATGAAAGACTTTTAACTGGACTATACGGAATTATTCTAAAGATTAGCACGACTCTAGAGTGTATACAATACTACAGTGTCAACAAAAAGTTGACTCGAGCCGTATAATTTTGAACCATCATGCGAACACTCCACAAATGAAGAGCAATCTAGAATTCAAGACCACGGGCCGAAACGGCGCACGTATTTTGAGGCAATATATCGCGTAGATCAATTTCAAAACATTGCCATTCAATTCAAGACGGTACACAAAGTTCAATGCGGCCACTGTCAACACTGCGTTAACAAATATACCATAAATCGCGAGCGCGGTCGCTGAAATAAAAATAAATCAAATATTAAACCTTATAAGTATATCCCTCGAGAGCCTTGTCCAGTACCACACGCGTTTCGATATACCAACAATGGTCAACCAGTCTTGCTAATGGCACCAACACATCTAAATGGGAATAGCTATGTTAGCGACAATCTTGTGCATACTAAATTATCATTTGATCATTATACATTTTAATTAGGGATCATCTAACAGCGTTTCCGTTCGAATCATCATTGTTATTTTGGGAGATATTTGGCACACGAGCCCAGACCGGTGTCGTGGGTAGAGGTTGCTGGTATCGTTTACGGCATCTTGTCGACCCAGAGATGAATTAGGGACCGTTCATTATTTATATCCGGGGTTGGTACCGAAGTGATATGGGTTGGGTAATGACTTTTTGACTGTCTATCAGCTATAAAATAAAACAAAATTACCATGCATTGCATGGAAAATGTCGGAAGAGAAATGTGTACAATATCCACCTAAATAAACCATCAATGATTGAGGAAGGACTCTATCATTGATCAGAATGCTCAGCAGGAACGTGATTGCTTTGACACACTCAGTGAGTTTGAGTGAGCTTTTAGAGTTTAGTCAACTTGATTTCTGTCAGCATAATCTTGTGTGTTTAATTATTATGAAATACAGTAACACATGGGTTGGGTAAACATTATTTTGACCAATGTTAAGGTTGGGTAAATAAAACATTTACAATGTTTTTCTCTTCTCTTCGTTCTCTGTTTTTCTCTTTGTTCTGGGGCCGTTCACCCTAGTGATTTAGAGTCTATCGGGCTAAGTGGGGACAACCAAAACTATGAGATGAGAGCTTCGGATATATCTCTCAACTTTACTAGAGAAGAGGACGTCCCTATATCCAGGATAAAGAGTAGAGGTAGATCCAATTAAAATAGCATGGAGGCATTCAATAGAAGAACGACACTACGACAGTTGGGAGACTTAAATGGAAAGATATTGTGAAAAGATATTTGGGAGTACTCAACCTGGGACTATAATTGTGTGTTAGCATAAAGACACCCAATAGAACTGAACGACGAACAGTTGGTAGACCAACCCCGTACCCAGGGCTTCTGCGCTTGTGGCTCTCAGAAGCCCTGGGTATGATGGACGGCAGGATGAGATGGAGAGATATTGTGAAAAGAGATCTGCCGGAGAGTATTAAACCTAAGCCAAAAGGATGGCCAGGACAGAGTGTACAGAAAGACAAGCTTTCGTTGGTTGGGATGCAACTACCTGAAAAATATAAGGAGAATTTCGACGTTTCGAGCGAAGGCCCTTGAGTAACTCCAGACGAAGGGCCTTCGCTCGAAACGTCGAAATTCTCCTTATATTTTTCAAATAGTTGCATCTCTAGCAACGAAAGCTTGATCGTGATTGGCATTACCTACACTGGCTCAGACAGTTCAAGATTATGTACAGAAAGATGCAAGTCAAGTTGCTCTGACAAGTTAGTAGGATCAATTGAAGTATGCGACCCCCCTATAAGTTACTTCTCCAAAAAACTGCCTCGTCGGTTCTTTAAGAACTCCTACTTATTTTTCCTCATGAATGATCTACAATCTTTACCAGAAACTATGGGACAGCTGCTGTAATTTCATATAATTTGAAAGGAATAGCGCCCCCAGTTCAATCGGTTGGGCCGACAAAAATCTGATGTCTGGATGCGCGGCGCCAACATTGAAACGGGTGGGGGGAGGGAGGGTGAAAAAAATGTATCAGCAAATGGTATATTACAATCGAATGCATGTGAAAACTACTGAGATTGTCCCAATCTATATTGTCAATGATTGTAGTTCATGAATTAAAAGTGTCCTTAGTAAATAAAATAGGGTTTATCGAAGAACGAGGCAGTTCTTTAGAGAACTAATTTATGGGGGTCGTAAATTCAATTGATCCGTTCAGTATATATTCCAGACTTTCCTTTGGTCCTCCATGTAAAAATGTACCCACGACCCACCACATGATCCCACCAGCCACGGCCCTCGACCGTATCATAAAACCACTCGACAAATTCCTTGGATAAATTCAAGTAACACTTTAGACACTTAAAATTCTTTAGCGTAATTTACAGCTCTTATGGTCTGTCACTGGTTCTCACGACGAGATTTGAGGTTTTATGGACGAGCAATTTCTTGATCAATTATCGCAGTTTATTTCGGGGGAACCTAGGTGTGTTTGGTGTGGTACGCTGCGGATTGCTTATAGTATATTCTGTATTGTTTAGGGAGCCGTGCGTGGCGGCTGTCTGCCTGAATAGCTCACTGCATGAGTGTTTGATTTTAAATTCAAAACGATTGTTACTTTATCCGAATGTAAACTGAGGATATTAACATCAAACAAAAGGATGTATTCACGAGCGTAATCTTGTTATTGAAAAATCTGTTATCAAAAGGAGGGCTATAGCGTTACTAAGTACCTCGATGGGTTCAAACTGAAGGAACTCATCATGAAGGCCGATTTAATACACTACGCAACTTTTGCCTGAAACTGTCGCATGCAGCCTGCTTACAACTTGAGTTGTACTGTGTAAATCAAACACACAACTCGCTCACGTTATTGTAAATTGCAAGGCAGACATCCAGCTTGTCTGAAGACTCACCTATGGCTAGTCTGCGATCAAATTATCATCAGACAACTTCGTATCGCAAGAATTAAATCAATCCTCGCCCAGGAAAAGAAGGTTCAAAAAAGGTTAAAGACTGGTTAAAGGGTGTTGTAGATGGATCGAGTGGAAATCTATATACATATAGACCTTCAATTTACTGATAGACTCGCAGCTATTCTTGGTTAGGTCTAATGAATGTATATAAATTTCCACTCGACATTTTCCACCTATACAAGACCTTTCAACTAATTATTGGATTGAATGAGAACAAAATCTCGAAACACTATCAAAGTTTCTGTGATCACAGTAGGAATTTTTGCTGATAGGTATCAAAAATTCTAAGTCTTGAAGGATTTGTAAGAAATGTTTCAGGGAACTAACTCAGTGTTAAACAGTGAGTCATTTCCTCAAGCATTTTTTCAAAACTTAGAATTCAGCCAAGTTCCTACTGTGATCACAGAAAACTTCGATAGGGTAAACTACAATCAGTTTCAAAAGTCTTGGGACAGATGCCACAAAACCTTTGAATTTCAACAAACGACAATCCCCCCCGCCCCCTGTTCAATGTTGTGTCCCATTTCTCGTCGGGTTTGATGTGTTTTGGTTTAAACAACATTGATTGGGGTAGGGGAGGGGGAGCGGAGCGGTATTGTGTGTAAAAAACTATAATGATCCACTTACGAGCTAAAACTACATGTGTCCCAACAACTTCTGAAAGTGATTGTACGTTTGACCCGCCCTAAAATTCGTCGACGGAAAGGGCGAAACGTAGGTCTTATGAAAATGTTGTCAAAAGCGCCTTCCGCCCACTTTGTATTTTGCAATAATTAACAATGATGATCGACACATACACGTAATACCTAAAAATACAATGAAAGTTGTCGATTTCACTTTATTGCAAGTTTGTAAACTAGTAAGAGTCAATAAGTACAGATATTCGAATAAATATTTAAAATATTGGTAACCCCATGGCCGCCCGTTGCTTTTATATACTTAAACCTTTAATTATAAACAAACAGCTACAGCTAGTAATAATACAACATTTTCAACGCATTCTATAAATGCGATAAAATCTGCCAACGCAAATTTGGCAATGGTCAATGTGCCATTGTTGAATTGCATCCCAACCCCTACATTAATATATACATTTGAAATCGCCATACAATGGTAAAATCTAAATAAAATATTTTGTACGTGTTATGTTATCAAAATGTATATTATGAATGCGCACATATTTATATCCAAGTTTTACTATGATTGATCATCACAAAACTTAGATCGTGTATAAAAAAATTATATATTGTATTGTTTATTTCAACGGAAAGATACAACGCTGAAGAATTTGACACGTACAGTAACTGCTCTACTCCCCTCTAGTTTTAATTTTAGACGTTAGATACTGATCATCCCTTACGAAAATGTTCTATAGAATCCTATAGAATATGGTATAGAATATTCTATATCCTATAGAATATTCTATGAGACTTGCAATCCTATAGAATATTCTATTGCCTATCTTCTTCAGCCATTTATGTACCATTTAAAAAACGAGCAGGTGTGTTTTATTAGGTTTAGAGCCACGAGCGCCCAGCGCGAGTGGCTTTAAACCTAATAAAACACGACTCACGAGTTTTTTAAATGACTTCAAAAACGTATGCATAATAAGTCAAATCTCTATATAAAAATCTTTATATAAAAATGTTTATATAAAAATCTTGATATAAAAATCTTTATATAGTTTGCATAACAATGATCTTTTGTTAGGGTGTTCTTTAGCTGGTATAAAGACGTATTCACGTGACTAATTTCTTACTCAAGATTGGATAATTGCTTCATGAATTATTAATGAGTTTTTGAAGATTATGTAAAAGTACAACAACTGGATGATACTTGCAAGATTCAGCTATAAAATTATATTAAATTAAGCATATTTTTTCACCCAATGATATTTTTTTAGGAAATAAGAAAATTTAATTTATGCCAGGCATATTAGTAATTTTATGCATATTTAGCAATTTACTTGGTGTGGTGCATGGTCATTTTCTTGTAAAATATATATTATACTTCTACAATTTTTTTTCCAATGATCACCCCTAAAAGCAACCCTTCTAAACACTGTAAATACTTCAGTAAGGCTATCGCTTTGCCTTTTTGGAAATTAGAGCTACGTCAACACTGCCCTTTCAGGGCGGGGTCATTTTCAGGACTTTCGTCCCGGATTCGGCACATATGTCATGTTGACGGTCATGGTCATTTTACCCTATATCAGTTGAGATTACTTGTGCTAAATGAAACGCATACAAACTCATATGCAGGTCCTAAACTACAAGTAATAAGCTGAAGCTCGTGTTGAAGAGTTTATTAATATCGGCAAAAATCAGTTAATTTCAATTCACATTTAAAAACTGATATAAAAACATATAAAAATTAATAGTTCTGTGTTTAAAAGTGTTCAAATGTCATCTATTTTTTGCAGTTTTGTACAAAAAAAATTAAAAAACCAATTATCGTGTTGCCATGACTAACAATTGTGGCAACGCGAGCCTGCATTCATTGTTGGCGTAATTACGAATACTTCATGTTGAAACA